CTATGAAGTGGTCTCCCGCACCAGACATGAGTCCATCTGGCCCCCTAAAAAATATTTACAACATTATTGATTATATTCCCCAGACTGTCTTTTCTATCCCTGAGGCCATATTGTAGTTACCAATTTGTATTGTCTCATCCCTTCCCCTTCTCCTTCATCCCCACCCCCTCCCAACTAGCAACCCTCAGTTTTTTCAGGGAAGCTTTTAAACTGGAGATTTCTGCCTTTCACCCTTGGGATCCTGAGCAGTAGGGGAGAGAGGTGCTTTTAAGAAAAAAAAAATGTTGGGCCCTCTCGGTGATCTTGATGGAGATGAGGGGACACTGATCTTGAGTTCCCTGAGGACTCGGCTTGTGCACAGCTGGAGTTCCGGTGCTCCACGTGGTGTCCAGTACACAGGGGGTGCTCACTAAATGCACGTTGACTGAATCAGTAAATCTTGTATTCTACATTTTAATCCTGGTTCCTATCTTCTTAGCATAGCATCTTGGAAAGGAAATTATTGGGTTAAAATTTTAATTTTTAAAATAATCTTGATGTATGTATTTATAGTGCTTTCTTAAGAAATCAACATACTATTTATTTTTCTTTTAAAATAAAGCCTCCCATAATTCTCTCTCTCTGGGATATAGATAGATATAGATTTTTCCATCCAGTTCTTTTCCTCTGTTATATGTGTTTGAATACACATAGAAAATACATATTAGACACATCTCTAAGCATAATGTTTTGTAATCTGCTTTTTTTCTCTTTGTGGATACTACAACCAGTATTATAAATCATGGTCTTGCCGTTTTTGTAATTATATTTCTAGACTGTTAATAACTAATTCCTAGCCAGTTAGATCTGTGTTCATCAAGGATGAACTTTTATGGATGAATTTTAACATTTACAAAACAATTAGCAAGCACAATTCAAAAATAATCAGTGCAATGTTTTGTTTGGTATGGTATAGACTGAAAGCTTTCATACTTTTTGTACTTTAAGAACTGGTAAATTATCTTTTGGGAGCTATTATGGAATTGACATTTGAGTAAAGGCATTTAACTAGCCTAATTATACCTACTACCATATCATAAAAGGAATGACATTTTAATGTAAAAAAATTAAGTACATTTTCCTTTATGAAAATTAAAACACACTCTCTGATGAGATGTGGAGATCTAATGTCGCCCTAGAGCTGTAGACTTGTGCAGCGAGATGGCATGTGGCAATTACCAAGGATGAACTGAGGATGTGGAGGATAAAGTCGAAGAGAAGTTTTGCTTATTTTGCCCCAGACTGGTGGTAACATTGTCATTAACCAGCTCTAGCCCTTCAGTATCAACAAAACAAATCCTTGTCTTGCTTTTCAGTCATTTTATTTTTGTTCTCTAAGTTGTGGGCTCCTAGGCCACATCTAATTAATCTTTGTAGGCTTGGTGCTTAAAACTGTGCAGGTAGAGGGAATGAAATAATGACTGAGGGGCCCTGCAAGAAAGTGGATTCCAGTGAGGAAACATACCCTATTTCTGAACTGCTTTCTTTTCACTGTATCATTCAAGTTTCCCACAGTTGCTCTTTAAATTGGTGTGCACTCTGAGCAAAAAAACTGAGGTAAGAGAATTGGGGAACAGGCAGTTTTTATGCAGTATAAACTTGATTTTCAAGCTTTGGCTGGATTAGAGAAAGGTATTTAACATATCTTTACAGCAACTTAATAAACCATAAAGAAAGGGACATCTTGGAGAAGGCATGAACATATTGCTGTTGTGCAGGTCAGGGTGAAACTGCTTTGTAAATTGGTCCCTGTTGCTTGCTTACTGTCATGTCTCATTGCTATTTTGTTTGTGTTTCCTCTGCCAGCGGGCCCATCCTCTACCTGTTGAACTCTTCCTCCACCTTGAAAGCCCAGCTCAAATGCCCCTTCCTCTACGGAGCCTTTTTCTCCTGCCCTTTTAGTGTCTCCAAACTGGCCAGAATTAGCCATTCTCATCTTTGTGCTCCCATAATGCTTTGTGCACACTTCTGTTTTAACACATTATTTTGCTTTTTTTGGTTAAATGTATGTCTTAGTCATTTTGGGCTGCTATAATAAAATAGCAAAGACTGGGTAACTTATAAACACAAATGTTTACTTCTTACAGTTTTAAAGGCTGGAAGTCTGAGATCAAGGTGCCAGCATGGTCAGGTGAGGACCTTCTTTTGGACTGCAAACTTCTCATATTCTCACATCGCAGAGGGTGGAAGGGAGCTCTCTGGGGTCTCTTCTATAAGGGCACTAACCCCACTTATAAGGGTTTTGCCCTCATGACCTAATGTCCTCCCAAATGCCCCATCTTCTAATACAATCAGCTTGGGGATGAGGGTTCAACAAATGAATTTTGGGCGTACATAAATATTCAGTCTGTAGCAGTGTATATGGTTCTATCTTTGCGGCAAGGTGGAGTTTCCTGAGGGCTGGAGAGGGTTATTATTTACTTTATATCCTTAGTATCTAGTACAATACATGATCTAGGGTAGGGACGTCTGAACTTTGACATTTTCAGGGCACTTCTATTCAGCCTCACTAGCTGTAAATACACTTAAGTCCTTTTTGTTGTCACTGGCTTCTAAGCTGAATCTGTGATAATACACAACAGACTCAGGATGTCCTTTGTGAATGGGCTCTATCGGCTGGGTGGCTTCCCAGGCACCCTCAACCCATTGTTAAGGCCCATGAGAAGGCGCTGTGGGTGGGGTAGGATGGGACTCTTGAGGCAGATGCAGTACTCAAACTCTCCCTCCTTCCACACTGTTACCAAGCAGAGTGGCTTGCTTCTCATCCCATTGGTCTTCCAAACCCAAATGTGTTTAATCACCTACAAGTACCACTCATTAACTGCCCCTAAAAACAATAATTAGGTGCCACATTTTAATGTGAAGTGATCCATGTTACTATTGTTTCCTCCACATAGTGACTCTCCCACTGCTGGTATTGTGACAGCTAAATGAAAAGGCCAGTAATATGTGGGTTTCTGTTTTTTGTTTCTTTACCTTGAGGAAACAAAGACTCCCCTGACGTAATGAGATACTAGGAATCTCAAAAGAGCCAAACAGAACAATTCAGATTCTTTTAAAAATATTATTATTATAAAGCCACCAGGAAGAAAGTATTCAGCAATATTATATGGGAGACTGGCTATTGTTAGAGCTCAAAGACCATCATGGGGGGAGAAACCAAGCTGTTCAAGGCAACCTGTGAGGGGTAGGTGACCACAAATGCATGTAAGTTGTTAAAGCTGACACTGTCTCCCAAAGACAGACTTGAAAAAGCAATGAAAATGCTAATGAGTTGATTAATGCACCTTTCCAATAAACCTCTCAAGTATTAAACCAACATTTTTAAAAGAAGTGAACCTTTCTATTTAAAAAAGTATGCTGTCAAGAGTTGCCCTGTAGAGCAGTAGATTGGGAGAGGGAGCATTATCATTTTGTGAGGGGTATAAATGTCTAGCTATTACATTGTTTTGTACAATTGAAACTAAAAAAAAAAAGAGTTGCCCTGTACAACATAACTTTTGGAGATCCCACTGAAAACCTATCTACCCTAATTCATTTCTTGGTAGAAAGGTTTGAAATATGTCAGCACCAAGATTCTAATTCATTGGCCTAAGGAGTATGCCCTTTCCTGCCAATGGTCCTCCCTGTGCTCTCAGTGGAAAAACCCTCCTAACTGCCATAGAATGCTCAGGGTAACAAAACTGACATCTCACCATTGAAATGGCCTGATGCCCAGAGGCACCATGGGAAAGAATTTGAATGCTCTTGGCAGTTGAGATTCAGACTTTGATAGTTGTAACTGATGGACTGGGCTGGAGTGCTGCTGATGAAGTCACATTTCTGAAAGAAAAGTGATCCAGTGTAAGGGCTTTTGCATGATAGACTAGACGCAGCAGCAGGTATTGTCATTGGAAAGGCGCAGCGTGTCTAAGAACAGGCATTTGAACCAACCTGGACCACATCGTCCCCTCAGAGTGCTCTGTGTCTTGTAAATGAGAAGATTATGAAATAAAACTGAAAAACAAAACAAATATCATTTGGGGGTCTCTGCCCCTTGAGAGAGTTGGGCATTGGAAGGGAAAATGTTTTCTTAGTGGATGGAGAGAAGTATTAGGACTGGTGGTTAGGAGGCAGGTGACGAGGAAATATAGGCGGAGGTGAGAACAGATACTGTAGGGTTATTGCAGGTCAGGAGTGGCTCAGTGCCCCCCATGGGGCTTTAAGTTGATACTGAGCATCACATTATTGGGCACTGCTCTGAAGGCTGTGGGGATTTTTCAAAATCAAGAGAAGGTTCTTAATTTTAAAGAGAGAATAATCCATGTGAAAGCCTGGGACATAAGGACCAACAATGTCAATGCAGGGCAGTTGACATTTTGAAATAGTACCAATAGTAAGAGCACTAGTAATTCAGAAGAAGAGATTTCTGGGAAGGTGATTAGAGGGAGCTTAGAGGAACCTTGATAGAAAGACCTTAAAAAAGAGACATTTAGGTAGTTGGAGACAACAAATATTGGTGGCAACAAATCTTCCTGAGAGCTGAGATGTACCTTGATTCTGTTAGCACTTTTGAGCACCTTTTTTTGGTGTCCCATCTATAACCATTGTGCTTAGTTTGGGGTTTTCAGTGTCTTCTCCAGCTTTCCAGAATTCCTTATGAGGGTCCCTGTTAACTGGAGATTCTCATACAGAAACCCCTGTGCCCATCACAGCTACCTCATTACCATGTTTCTCCAAGATGGCCATCCCTGAGGAGGATTATCACTAGGCCTCAGAGGATAGAGAAAACCAAAATGCCATCAACAACAAATTGAAAATTCAAGTTGAAAGGTAAGTCTAAAAATCTGAAGTAAGAGTTGTATCTAATGTGAAGTTATATTCTTAAAGGAAATTAAGTATATCCTTCCTTCCTTCCTCCCACTCCTTGCTCTCTCTCTCTCTCTCTCTCTCTGGTGTCCCCAGGAAACTGAGGACTGCACTCTCCTGTAATCAATCACCTAGCCTGAAGAGGGTTGTCCCTAAGAGGTCCCTATGAGGGTGCATCTCTATGAGGTGTTCAGAGGAATGCGTGGCCTCTCACCTGGACCTCCTGGACCTATCCCATTTCAGGTGAGCTAACATATGAACTGTAGATATTGGGAGGATCTTTGCTTTTCTACTATAGCTGCTCAATGAACATAACTTTTCACCCCCGACTTTATACCCTTCAGACTTTTATATCTGTTGCCTATTGGTCAGATGCAAAACCTCAGGGGTCAGAAGAGAATTAAATGAAACGCTTCTTCCCTGTACATCCCCTTTCCCAAGGAGATACATCATCAAGGGCCAAGGGAGAACTGTGTTGTTGGAATAACCTCAGTCTCTCTGAAAATCATGGAGTTCAAGGAGTTTAAGGGGGGTGGCTACTAATGTCTCTGAAACTCTTTTTCCCTCAGGGCATTTAGGAGATGGGCTGAGTCAATGTGTGCATGGAGCCTACAGCCAGCCACCAGCTTCAAGCTCGGCAGAGAGCCACTGCCCTGGGTGATTGGTGGTTGTTAAAATGGTAAGTGCAACAGGCAGTGGAACACGCAGTAATGAGTTCACTCACATAAAGAGGAATATGTATAGATAAAAGATCTGAAGGACACTGAAGTATTCACAGCTGCATGTGAGGTTATAGTAGTTTTCTTTTTTTTTTCCCTGCACTTCCCAACCCTCAAAAAGTGTATGTTATTTAACCCAACAGAGGGTTAAAAAAAAAAAAGCTTTTAAGAAGAAATAATGTGGGGATAGAAATTGTGCTTCTTTCATTTCATTGTTGTGATTAATGACTCCTATAGTGGATACCTGGCCAGCTCCTGGGCCATGAGTTACTAACGTAGCAATTTGGGGTCTGCTCTAGAGCTTGGGCAGCAGAAACAGTGGTGTTTTGGAGACCTGGAAATGGGTCCTGGAATAAGTTCCCGAAATGAATTCCTAAGCCATGGAATCCCATGGGTTTGTCATAGTAATCAAGTAATACTGGCAGGTTGCTAATTGTATTAACAGAATCGTAAAGTTTTAGACCTAGAAAGATCTTGAGGAATCTGTATTTGGTTTTCTGATTTTTGTGGCAAAACCAGGATGAGAGTTTGATAGTAATAATAACTACCTTTTAATAAGCATTTACTGTGTGCCAGAAATGGTACTAGGTGCTTTACATAGGTTAATTTTTAGTCACACTATCAAGGTAAGTATTATCCTTACCTTGATTTTATAGATAAGGAAGTTGAGGCATAGAAATTAAGTGGCTTATCCTACGTCATCCAAACCAGAGTCCAAGGGAGGTTTTGAACGCATGACTATCTGGTTCTAAAATGGGCTTTTACTATGCACGATTCTGCCTCTTTATTTCCAACATGGGCTGTCTGATTCCCAGTCTTAAGAGTTCTATTTCTTGTCTCCACATTGAAAACTCAGGTCTGTTTTAACTAATGTTAGTTGAGCAGATGAACCCCAAGTTCCATTCCTCTAGCTGGGGTCTTCTGTATTGCCACGAAGTCCACTCCCAAGGTTAAAGGCCCACATTTGCTTTTTCTCAAAGCAATGTGGCTGCAGGCCTTCCGCCTGAGCCCAGACTTGCCTTCATTTACTCACTTCCCTTTTTTTGTAAGTGTTCCCATTCACAGGCTGTGGGAATGCCCAAGCCAGAGGGAGGGTGTGGTCACCTGGAGCCGTAGGTGGGGAGCTGGGAGGGGAGCATCCTGAGGCCTCTGCTGGTCGCCAGCCTCTCAGGCCACCTCCTCCTGCCCCTCCTGCCCTTGGGCTGTGGGAAGGCGGGGCTGAGAGGACTGAGGGCTTCCTGAGGTGAAGGTTGAGGGGCTGCACAGAGAGGTATCTTTTCTTTCAGAGGAAAGTAAAGACTTACAACATGTAGGGGATCAATTTAAAGTTAAGTTCTCCATGTTTTCAGCCTGACCAGGTGTTCTGGTTAATCAAATACTCTTAGTAAGGATGATGGTGTGTACGATACATGGCTGAACAGTTTTTCTGGGATTATAACACAATAAAGTATGGATAAAACCCAAACTGCACTAAATATAATTAAATCTTTCTTTGATGATTCATAAGGCCTTTAGGATCCTGTAGTGCCTCAGGGTCACCATTATGCTTATCATCCTTGATGAGGCAGGCAGCTGAATAAAAATACAGATTTAAATCTATAGACCTCACTTCTGTTCTTCTACCTGGGTGGCCTTGGGCAGGGGACTTGACCTCTGAGCTTCAGAGTCCCCTCCAAAATAGGTGTGGCCACATTACATCATAGGGCTGTCATAGAAAACTATGTGCATAAAGAATATTGTTGTTATTATCATTACTATTAAGCTACCAGGACATCAAACTGTTGGCTGATAGAGAATTCTATTACGTTTTTTTCAAAGTAATTCAGTCCCCTTTTATGAAAAACATGGCTTCCCCAGCAGTAGGTATTGCTGAGGAGTGATATTGACTCAAGGGCCAGTAAGAGCATTTAAACAGTGTTCATAAACTGCAAAAGTGATACATGCTTTTTGTGAAAAAATTTGAATATTATAGAACATACTAAAAAATAAGTTTCTTTCTACCCTCATTGTCTCAAACTTCCCCAGAGGGGAAATAAATCTTGTGTAGTTTAGTGATTGTGTTAGATCTAAATTATACCTTCATTATTGTTTGATTTCACTTTATTTCACTTAGCATATCTTAGGGATCTTTTCATCCTTTTTTTACAGCTGCATCTGCATAATCTTTCATGTTACGGATGTGTTTTATTTTGTTTAACCATTGCCTGATTGATGAGCATTAGGTTATTTCTAGTTTTTCTGTGGTGAACAATGATGAAAATGAGCATAGGATGATGTTTATGGACTAACTCGGTAGCAGCTCTCAGTGATTTTTTCATTACCTCAGGTTTCCTCAACCCATACTTCCTAAAACATTTTCTTCTTGATTATATGCCTCCCCAAAAAGCTAGCACCTAATATGAACAAAGCAACGAGCCCTTTACAGATTGGTGATTTCTAATAAATGTATACGCTTGTGCAACTACACCACCACCCAGTTTTAGAGCATTTCCTTTACTCCAGAAAGTTCCCTTTTGTACCTCTTTGAGGTTAATTCTCATATGCATCCCAGCTCTAGGCAATCCCTGATATGATTTCTGTCTCTGAAGTCTTGCCTCACCTAGAAATTTCATAAAAATGAAATAATGGTATGTAGCCTTTTGTGTCTGGCTTCTTTCACTTAGCAAAATATTTTTTGAGATTCACCCATGGTGTTGGCTGTATAAGTTATTGCTGAATAGTGTTTCATTACATAGATGCACCACATTTTATTTATTCATTTGGATTGTTTCCAGTTTGGGTCTATTTTCAGTTTTTTCCTGCTGTGAATAATGATACTATGAATGTTTGTGTACAGGTTTTTGTATGGACATATATTTTTTATTTCTCTTGGATTGGTACCTAGAAGTAGAATTACTGGGCTTATGATATGTATATGTTTAACTTTAAAAAAAAAAAGAAATCTGCCAAATTGTTTTCTAAAGTGGTTGTTTTGTTTTATATTCCTACCAGCAATGTATGAGGGTTCCAGTTTCTCCACATTCTCACCAACACTTGGTATTGTCAGTCTTTTTTTATTACACCTATTCTACCGGATATGTAGTGGTATCACATTGTCATAATTTGCATTTTCCTAATAACTTATCATGTTAGGACTTTTTCTTGTGCTTATTAGCCATTCATATGTGTTCTGTGGTAAAGTGCTTAATCAAATATTTTGTCCATTTTTTTTTAACTGGGTCATTTGCCTTTTAATAGTTCTTTATTCTGAATGCAAACCTTTTATGTATGTATACTGTATATATTTATATTAATACATATGATTTATATAGATACATGATTTACAAGTATTTTCTCCCAATCTATGGCTTATTTTTTCATTTTCTTAGTGGTGACTTTTGTACAAAAGTATTTAATTTTGATGAAGTCTAAATTTGACAGGTTTTTCTATTATGGATCATACTTTGGGTGTCTTGTATAAGAAATCTTTATTCCACTCAAGGTCACAAAGATTTTTCTCTTATGTTTTCTTCTAGAAGCTTTATAAAAGTACTGTAATTTTATAAATTATTTCAAAGACTAGGTGAAGCTAATGTTCTCCATAGGCCCTTCCTAGGCTGAAATCAATGGGTCCATGAAGTTACAGCTACAGAGCAAGTTTTTCCTACCTTTCCATGGTAGTTTTCACATGTTGGCTGGATTGTACACCTACAGGATCAACGAAAGTGGCCTTCATTACTAAGTCCTCAAAAATTTTCCCAAGGCAAAATGTGAGATCATGCTCATTTAGAAGAATCAAAAAAAGTTTCCTTTGAAGAAGTCATGTTTATTTCCTATACCATGAATAGAATGTCCTTGTTGTGTTATATCATTTAGCAAGTGTAGGACAATAGCTCTCAAAACGAAGGCAGTGAAAAGTCATTTCCTATCACTAATGGTTTTGACATGGGCTTAATTCCACTTTGCTGCTCTTCATTCCTAGTAACTCACTTTGTTTCTCTAGGTAATGAGGCTATTATTTATTAGCTCTTAATGTGTGCGCACACATGCGTGCTCAAGAGCTACATTGTTCTTCTTTGGAGAACTTGAATCTCGTTTCTTTCAAACCTTCTTTGATCATAGCATATACAGATTCTGATTGTTTATTTGAAACTCTTAGGACACAATGTGGTTTGTTTTTTTTTTTAAATTAAAATTTATTGGGGTGACAATTGTTAGCAAAGTTACATAGATTTCAGGTGTACAATTCTGTAATACATCATCTATATATCACATTGTGTGTTCACCATCCAGAGTCAGTTCTGTTTCCATCACCATATATTTGTGGACACTATATGTTTTAAAATGCATACTTTAGAGCTGGCTGACTGGCTCAGTTGGTTAAGAGTTAGCTTAAGAGCGCAAGCTCTGAGCAACAGGGCCACCAGTTCGATTTCCACATGGGCCAGTGATGCTGCACCTGAGCTGAGCTGCCACTGAGCTGCCAACAGGTGGCAGGATGGCTCAACTGGTGAAAGCACATGCTCCTAACAACAAGACTGCCTGTTTGATGGTGGGCTATGCCTGCCCACAACTAAGACTGAACTTGGCACCTTGAGCTGAGCTGCCGCCCGGATAGCTCAGTGGATAGGGCCACGCACTGCACTCTTAACAATAAGGCTGCTGGTTCGACTCCCCCATGGGATTATGGCTACACCCACCTGCAGTTAAGATTATAACACAGCACCTTGAGTTTAGAGGCCACAGGCTGTCGACGGGCAGCCAGGCTACTGGCACCCTCCACAATTAAGATTGGAGAACAACAACTTGGCTGGTCCCCCTCCCCAATTCCCCAACACTGTTCCCCTCCCCCAATTTCCCAATTAATAAAAAAATAAAATAAAATGCATACTTAAAAAAATTATTTTAGAAAGATACTACAAGGAATATTCTGGATGAATATAGTTTCAAGATAACTAGCATTTCATAATATTAATATTTT